AGAAGTCTTCCTTTTTTTTTTTTTATGGAATGGAGGTGGGAAGAAATAGTATTTTTTTCATTATAAAAGAAATGCATACCTATGGGAAATTGAGAAAGCACAGAAAAGTGTAAAGAATAACAACTACCCATAATTCATCCAGAAATAACCACTGTTAAAATGCTGACCTATTTCTTTCTAGTAAATATACAGTGAGAGCATCTTTACTTTTCACATACAGCATATAATTTTACCATAACATTTAAAACAATTCGTGAATATAATTTACTGGATTCATAATTGTCTATATGTGTATATACCATAATTTATGTAACCATAAAGAATAAGATGATGGCTTACAAATGCTAATAGAGGAAGCCATAATCCCTAGAGCCAGCATTCATTAATTCACTCAATTTGCTCATTCTTACATTCGATAATAAATATTTATTGCAGGCTTGGTCTAAAACTGGAAATACAGTCAACAAAACAAAAATCCCTGCTGTCATGGAACTTTCTTTATAAGTGGGAAAATAATAATACCAAGGACAAAAAATAAAACAAGCAAAGGGGATAGGATGTGTTGTGGGGAAGTTAAGATTTTATTGAAGTGGCCAGAGAAGGTTCAAGAGATGGCATTAAAGTGAAAACCTAAAGAAGATGAAGGAAAGGCACAGGGATATTCGAAAACCATTTTGAGCAGAGGAAACAGCAAATGCAAAGACCCTGAGGTGGGAGTATGCCTGGAATGTTCAAGGAACAGCAAGGAAGCGGCCACTGTGATCAAAGTAAAGTTAGAAAGCAAGAAAAATAGAAGGAAATTGGGAAGCGAATTAAGTAGGGCCTTTTGGGTCATGTACAGACTTTGTCTTTTCATCTGAGTAAGCCAGAAGCCACTGGTGGGTTTTGTGGAGAGGAGAAACTTAGGCTTTAACAGGATCAATACAGCTGCTGTGTTGAAAACAGACAAGAGGAAAGGAAGAAAGCAGGCAGACCACAGTCTAAGACAGAATAAGATGGAGTGAAGCAATCAAGTGACCAACTGGTTGAATGACTGTACACAAGAGGTTTCAGTGAACAGGCTGGTACAATCCTAAGAGGAGTTTCAAATGACTGATAAATTTAAAAAATAATAATTTGAATGATCTATCAAGAAGATATGCTGATCATAATCAAGGGTGAAATTATGAAAAAAAAATCATGAGGCACTGAAATCTGAACACTGACTGGATACTTAATGATATTAAAAAATTACTGATATTTTAATGTGTGAAATGGTACTGTGGTTATGTTTTAAGAAGAATTCTTATTTTTTAGAGCTGTACACTGAAGTATTTAAGGATAAAATGATCCAATGTCTAGGACCTCCTTCAAAATAATGAACTGTATGGGGAAAAAAGTAGGTGGAGACACCCATGACAAAAGATGATGGTTGTTGAAGTAGGATAATGTGGATTCATTTTATTACTCTCTCTACTTTTGTTTAGCTTTGAAAATGTCCTTAATAAAAGGTTTTTTTTAAAACCAAGGATGGCATATAGCTGAATAGAAAAAAGAATGCTCTGAAAAAATTTCAAGAGGCTGGAATTCTTGACCAAATTTAAACAGATAAAATGCAACAGGGAAGACTATAAAGTACTATATTTAGTCCAAGATATCAACTAAACAGTACAAAACAGATATAACCTATTTTTAAAATCTTAGGATTCTATTTTGAACAACTTAGAATAACTGGGCAATCTTCCATAATAGTTTCAATGTTTTTTTGTGATATGCTTGTACAATAAAATCAAGAATTGAAACTAAAATATACCCAAGATTGTTATTTATGTTGCATGTAAAGTGTTTACGTAATTAGATGTATGTGTATATATATATAAACATAAAGATGTAAAGCAAAATACATCATTACTACTTTTGGTGTTTTAAAGGTTTTCTTTGTTACTACC